TCAGCAGGAATATCCTCATGTGATAAGTCTAATACTTAACATAGACATAGGGTCTCTTTGCAGTCTCTGGAACTTATTGATGCTCGCACGCATATTCCGACTAGAAGCAAACACAAGGAAGCTCGCAAAGAGCTCCTGGAAAATCTCCGCGCTAGCCTGAAGAGAGACCGCAAACCTGGTTGTCTCATCGTGTTTCAGAGATGGAAATGACCGCTGCTCTTGGTAACCTTCCTAAGTTATTTCGACTGATACGTGAAACGGGCAGATGGAGACCTGGAGTAAGTAAAACTATACGTGACGAGAGTGAACAGCATAGCCACAATTTGTCAAAACGCTAGAAACGTTGGGCTGAGCACTATGAAAGGCCATTTAACCGGTCGAAATTGTTAGAGTTCTTGCCAGCCACTGATCGCCCCGCCCCGTGGGCTATCCCTTTGGATCCACCCTCTTGCTCGGAAGTCAAACGTGAGATCGGACTGTTGAAGTTAAATAATGCCGCGGGACTAGAAGATCTTAGTCCAGTCTTCTTGAAGTTCGGAGGACCTGCTCTTGTGGATGATTTATACAAGTTACTAGTGAAAGTGTGAGAGCAATAAACTGTCCCAACCGACTGGAGCCGCTTCGTCCTAGTAACAATTTTCAAGCCAGGCTCGTGATCGGAATGCGGCAACCATAGAGGAATCAGTCTGATCTCCAACGCCTCCAAATTTCTTGCATCCGTCATCCTTTACAGACTGATTAGCACTCGTGAAAGTCATATTCGTAAAGATCAAGCTCGCTTTCGTCGAGGTTGTAGCTGCATTAACCACATCATCAATTCGCGTCAGTCGTTGGAGCACCGTCACATATATCGGTGTTCCACCGTTGTCCTGTTCTTCTATATCAAATGCGCATTCGATTCGGTGGATAGACGTGCACTTGGGGACTGTCTACTCAGGAAAGGTGTACCTGAGAAATATGTAAATATTATTTGAGCATTATATGCGCTTAGCTCGGGCAGAGTGAGGGCTTAATGCAAGTTATTGTCACCCTTTAACATCTCCAGCGGAGTGAGACACCCATGTCCACTGTCTCCTTTCTTTTTCAATTTTGCTGTTGTTGAAGTCATGGAAATCGCGTTTACAGGACGCGAATTAGAAGGTGCGGATCTGCTCCCAGGAGAATGACTTATTGACTCTGAATATGCTGATGATATTGCCCTAATCTGTGACAGATCACAGACGTGCCATGCGGCAATGGGCAGATTAGCACTGGCTGTCCGTCACTTCGGGCTTTGCTTCGTACCCACGAAGTGCAAAGCGTTCACCAAGATTGGTCTGGACGGCTTCCTAATTTGACTCTTTGTGGAGATCAGCTATAAGTCGTTCAGCAATTCAAATACCTGGGAAATTGTATCAGCGCTCGTGGGATTGAAGATGAGATAACGAAACTTTCAGCAAAAGCTCGAGACGTTTTTGTTAACCTTCGTCACTTATGGCGCCGGCGCAACATCACTCTCGCCCTGAAGGATAGAATGTACGATGCAGCGGTACTTTCGACTCTACTGTACGGTTGTGAAACCTGGCCCCGTGGATCAACGGCACAACGAGGCTAGTTACGTTCGACAACTGGTACCTTCGCAATTTAGCTCACATCTGTTGGGCACACCGAGTAAGCAGCAAACATGTTCAAGACCACGTTTTCGGCAGAGGAACAAGAAATGAACTACTTGCCACCGTTATCTCACGCACCAGGCTCCGATGGCTCGGCTAGGTGTTGTGTATGCCAGCCCACCGACTTCCTCTACGTGCGTCGTTTGCGCCCTGGGTGTGTGGATGGAAAAAGAGGAAGGATTGTCAAGTGATGACTTGGTCGAGAGAAATGAACGCCCTCACTTCAAAGCTAGCCTCGGTTACAGCGTTTTGGCTCCCTGTTTGGGGTCCGAAAGACAATGAACCCGTTTGGTAGGATACACTTACTGATTTGGATAGGAGCCGACCTCAGTGGTATTCATGCTGTGAGTTCCTTTGTCCCACCACATCCCTCTTAGACGGCCCTCCAGCCACGATCTCACTATTTAGTTTTATGTAATTTTGCTTAGCGATTCGTTTTACTGCATAGTAGCCGGCCGGTAGCTTACCGGAACCAAGACCGTCCGTTACCGGTAGCTCAGCTGACTTGCACCTGTTGCATGTTCTTCTCCTTTTCTTCTTCTATGTATTGCGGCACAGTAGCTGAGATGTTTTCTAACTCGATCTAACATGTGTAATGAATGATGGTGATGATGCATAGGAGGTGTGGAAAACCAGAGCCAAACAGGCAAGTGAAGTAGTAGGAATAGGAATAAAATGAATCAAGATGAACAGAGAATATCCAATGTTGTTATGGCTCATAAAGTAGTAAATGTGAGAGATAACGATGTCATCCTGTCGATATAAGTGGTCAACATAGCCAGTACTAAAGGTCCTACAAACAAAAGTGCAGAGCCACAGTTTTGCAGGTAAGTCGGTAGAGCATCGAAGATATGTGGTCCATAATGGAAGAGGAAAGCCAGAGCTAAAGAGACTAGGGAAGTAGTAGGGCGAGACGAAGAATACGAAGAAAGCTGAAGATGGACCATACAGTGTGGTTTATGGTATGTATAGAAAACATTATAAATGCTGTGTGTGTCAGCTTGGGGGTAAGTATATAGGTGGAAAACGTAGGCGAATAATGAAATCCTACGCACAAAACTGTGAAGCTACCGTGTCATATATGAGTTGGGGGAGCATCAGAGATTAGTAGGGCGTAAGTGCGAATGAAAGCCAGATCAAAAAAGATAAATGACGAAGTATGACGATAAAATGAATAGGCAGGCAACGTAGCCAGCTATTTGAGGTCTTACGCACAAACATGCGGATCTATAGTGCGAAAGGTAAGTCGACGAAGCACCCTGGGTAGGTGGTGCATAGGCGGAGAGGAAAGTCAGGGCTAAACAGGTAAGATTTGTTATGGGAATATGCAATAAATAGAAGCAAGCTGCGGCGGGAACCTTCAGGGTTTTATGTATCTTAGGGTAGCAAATATAAGTGATAATATCAGCTTGGTGATAAAGATATACGTGGGCAACAGAGCCTGATACTTGAGGTCCTGCGCACGAAAGTATGGAGCTATGGTGTGGCAGGTAAGTAGGTAGAACATTGGAGGTAGGTGTTCTATAATGAGAGAACAAAGCTAGGACCAAAGAACTGAGTGATGAAGTAGAACAAGGACATAGGTAGGCAACGTATCCAGATACTAGAGGTCCTACGCACAAAAGTGCGGTGCTACAGTGTGGCGGGTAACTTGGTGATGCATCACAGGGAGGTGATCAGTTAGTAGACATAAAAGCCAGAGCCAAATTGAGAAGTGGAGAAGTAGGGTGGGCCAAGGAATTCGAAGCAAGGTGAAAATGGACTATGAAGTGTTGTTTAGGCTACATATTAAAAAAATATTATCAGTGAGATCGACGTCAGCTTTGGGGGTAAGGACAAAAACCGGCAACTTAGCCTGATGCTTGAGGTCTAACTCACAAAAGCGCGAATTTAAAATGTCAAACATGAGTCGGTGGAGCATTAGAGTTTGGTGATGCGTATGAAGGAATGAACGCTTGAGCAAAAGAGATAAGTGAAGCAGTAGAACGAGGCAAGGGATAGGTAGCAAGGTGAATAGGAACTCTGCAGTTTTGTTATGGATAAGTATGGGAACAATTATTAGTGATATAATTGTGAGCCTGCAGAGAAGAATAGTAGAGTGCGAGAAAATTTAAATGCTTTACGGCTTTACGCACAAAATTGCGGGGCTTTCGTGTGGAATCTAAGTCCGTGGAGCATAGGGGCTAAGTGTTGTTCAATAGGGAAGAAGAAAGCCAGAGCCAAAGAAATAGGTGAAGAGGTAAGACGAGATAAGGAAAAGGCAAGCATCATAGCGAGATAGTAAGTTCCTACGCAAAAATGCGGAGCTGCGGAGTGAAAAGTGCGTTGGAACATCGTAGGTAGTTGGTGCACATGAGGGGGGAAAACCCAGAGCCACACCGTTAAAAGCAGTAATAAGAATAGGCGATGGATAGAAAAGAGATGAAAAAAGAATATCCAAAGTTGTGATTTATAGATGAACATCTGTAAGGGATAAAGATGTCGTTTGGTGGACCTGACAAGCAACGACTATTTCACGAGCAGCTAGATTGTGAAATTTTTGGGGTTTCCATTCAGTTAGCTATTTACTACATCAATGATAGCCTGGCTCTTTTACAAGTTATGCTTTTCCTGGCAGACAACAACCTTTCCATTAATTCCTGCTAACGAAATATTTGGATATAAGCCGAGGGAGAAGCGCCTTTTTCATCTAAAACAATCACATCAGCATAACTAATATTTTATAGGCAACGTTAAGTTAGTAGGGCACTTTTGATATCTTGAGCCATCTTATCCATTCGCTCGGATACTTTTACTTTGCGGAAAGGAATGACGTGCACTGCCTCTTAAGGATTTACATTTATCAAGTCCGGCAGTGTTACTAATATTAAACGCAAGCTAATATTTTTTCCTACATTTCTAGCAAGCCACTCGCTTGCATTTATAATACTTTATTACCCCATGGTGCTTTTCTCTAACCTGCCAGAAACTGTTTCCCTTACCGGCGATGTTTCTTCGAAACTAGGCCGTCAGTTCCTAAAAAGTTCCCAGGCATTTGATTTCATCCGATGAAACAATTTTCTATGCGTTTAGCTACGCCTTAGAGCCAACAATGCTGCGCTGACCAAACTGCTATCTAGAACGGTAAAACAAATGAACTGCTTAGCAGTTAACATTAAAAATCTAACTCTATGATGCCTTTAATTTATCCTGAAATTTTCACACAATGACATGCCAGAGGAATGCAAACACCTCACAGACAACTTATACGTTTTGTTTGAGCGATGTTGTCCCACTAAAAAATTTACTTGCAAACTGGGCAATTCTCCTAACCACTGCTTAAGCAACTAGATAGATCAAAAACGAGGATTACAAATACAGACTAACAGTCTGTGTTACACGTTTATCCAAAGCTATAAAGACAGAACGGAGAAGTTTAAACACTCTTTATACTGTTTAAGCAAACACAGTTACCGCAAAATATGGCAGCCTCCAGGACAAGGAGCTGAAATAATTTGTCAGCTCATCAAAAATTGTTTAAGTAAAGTCAACGCCGTGTTCAGGTACTCAGCAAACTCACACACTGCCCTCTTAAAATACTTTGTTTGCTTTCTGCTTTTTTCTTTTGCAGGCACTTCCCAGAAGCCCAAAATGCTAAAACTAAACAAGGCTTGCTTACCGGATGCTCAATTAACAGTCGCTTTGAAAGTATACAGAGATGAAATTGCAGAGAAGTCATGTATCATTGCTTAACGATTGGTAACATACCCGACATTTTAAAACCAGCAAAACTACAAGTGCCATAGACGATCTCAATATTTTCGACTGATTCCGTGTTTTCCTTGCTGCCAGATCCGCAATTTCACAGGCAGTCATACATATAATCTCAAAACTTTTGCCTATAACTTAGGATTTCTATCTTGGTTGCCGTCTTTTTTTCTCGTGCACTACGTTGCTTTAGCCTTGACTGATAAATGGAAAAGATTGCGGCTTCCTTTTGGTGATTACTCCAAGGATTTTGGAAATACGGTAGATCACCGCTGCTAATCAGATTTTTCAGGAAATGCAGTGTGATGCGTGATTAGTTTACAAATCGCACCCACTTCACACAGTTGTTTGGCAAAATTCCTTAAACCCCCGGCTAATTTTGTTGTTTTTTGGGAGCCATACTGTCCCTTTTCTTTTCATCAACTATCTTGAATCACTATATTCCACAAAACATTATAGACTGTAAATATGCTGATAACGTAGTTCTGAGTTGCAGAGCACCAACCATTGAGTACATTGCGAAACTCTAACGGGGTTAGACCTACTAGAGACTTGGTCAAATTCTCCGTCCCACTCTCGCTTACATTCCGTGTGTTATGACATAACGTTCTATCTTTTACATTCCAAAAGACGTCAGTCCCCTGAAACCATCTATTCATCCATAACTGTAATTAAGTAAACCATACTTTGTAGTTCAACTGTTGAACATATAACAGAGTAAAAACCACACCTTTTCTTGGTCTACTTAAGTTCCTGAAAAATTTAATTAATTAATTCATTTCATTGATTAATTAAATTATTACTTAATTACTTTAATACATTTAGTTAGGTAGCACTTTTGTGCACTAAAACTTAAACTGTTCCGCTAGCCATGATTTAGTACTACGGTTTGTGACAGGATTTATCCTTCTGTTTCTGTTTGTTTACCTAAGTATGTTAGTAAAGATAATATCTTTATTTTCCTTTCGCCTGTTTTTCCCTGCTTCGGTCTATTAAAAGAAACGCCCTTTCATTTCATTTTTAACATAATTCTTGCTTTTAAATGACTCCTCTTACTGTGTACAAAATACCCTTGCCAAAACTATAGTTAGTCCATGTGCCTGTGCACAATTTTAATAGATTTCTAGGAACCCGTCGTATGAAAACAATTTGCTTCTTTTTTATCATATTTATTAATCGTCCTAAAAGGATGAAACGCTGCTTTCATGAGTGTACGCTGGACTGAAGATGCAAAAAGTTAATTTTGTCATTAATATTTACTACGCAATGAAAAGTTGTTTCATACTAGTCTGCAGCTTTGTTGTGAAAATACTGATCACCAGTAGGGGTATATGAAGCTTACTTTGACTTGGCTGATTTCTACTTGGTCACATTATTTAAATTGACCTCATGCCTTATCAAAGAAAGTAAACAGCTACAGCGCAATAATTCCAGAGAAAAACATTACATGGAGGACCTCTAATTTCGTTGGCGGCTTCGTTACCAAAATATGCCATTTTAAGCTGCTAAACGTAATGTAATGCAACCTTGCTACCGTTTTCATTTTCCTAAGCAGTCACACCAAATTTAGCGAAAAAATGGTTCAACCATCATAATACGCGGCTGATATGCATGTTTGGTGGCACTAAAATTATTTTAGTTAAAAAGTGTAACTACAAAATAAGCATATATAAGCATACTTAAGGCATCCGTTGGTGGCCACATTGTAAATAGCTAAACACGTAGCAACACTTTTAGAGGCAAGCCAAAGGTAATTTATGACGAGGTCTCAAAATTCCGTGAAATTTTAAGAGGTCACATTAAAACTTCTAGAAGGAAGCTGATGAAAGAGGGAAACAAATAAAACAGCAAATAACAATGCTTATTAGGCAAATATTTATTATAGGAACGTTGGAGCAAGCCTAAACAACAAATATCATGAAGGATAGAATCAGAGGACTTGACTTAAAGTAACTAAGTAATCGACAACCAAACCAAAACGTTCATTCGCTTTTGACAATCAAGCAGCCAAGTGCGTGTTGGCGACGCATTTTTGTATTCTAAGCGCCATGCGTACTATGCTTGTGTACATATCACTTACTAAATGCGGCTCCCCGTATAGGATGTCATTTGCCAAAAGCACTCGCTAATTTTTATCTGTCAGGTATGGCTTATAAAATTATGTAACGTGTCACTGCGCGAGTGTACGTCATTTCAAATATGGGTAGTGAACAGGATAGATCAGTAGCGGAGAAAAACTAACAAAGCTTTTAATGAACTATTGTTATTTGTGTTATGAGTTCCTTTTCTTAGAATATCCCACTACCACCCCCTATAAGTGTAGCTTATTAGTCTTTAGAAACTCTATATGGCCACTAGGGGGCCTTAATTGTCTTGTTGTGAAAGGCCACGCTAGACTGCATCCCTTGCTGGAAAGCTATCAGGCCACACAGACTGAATAAAAATTATTGACCAACCGCTTACCAAAAAATGAGTAATGCCGGATTACTTATCCGTAGGCTTAAATCAACCAATAATTAAGTATTCATCACATCAATCCTGACATCCAAAACAGCTTTCTGCTTTTAAACTAATACTCTTCATATTCAGTAACTACTTCGTGCTTAGAGAGCTTCATGCCTAACAAAAGCGGGACCTCATTTTGATTTCTTATACCTGGTTTAACCTCCAGTCAACCGCTACCGAGAGTAAGGTATTCGTGTTTAGCTTATTTTAAACCACAGAACTGAAAGTGTTGTTAATGCCCACGTTTATTAAAACGCCGATTTTAGTTGTTAAGTCATTTAGCAGCAAGAAACTCGCGCCATATTCGTGTTAGTGTCCTCTAAGATTATGTACCAAGGACATATGCCTCGTGGCAGTAATTAACCGCTCACTATTATGTAGGTAAGAAGTGAATTGCAATATGATCCTTTTTTATTTGTAATGAACTCGTTATGCAGTTATATACTCGTGGGATTACAATTTATGAGAAAGACAGGAAGACGCCAGCAATCAATGGCGCATGGTTTAAAGACTTCGCAAGTGCGAATATCCAGCTGCTCTATAGACATATACGTAACATCTCACATTAGGTTTCGAAATGTGAGCAGGCCGTCAACCCTTGAGTTTGTGCTTATTATCGGTAATTGCATAGTCGTTGGAACGTAAACAACTACACCACCATTTTGCACTGCTCTAACGACTCTACTCTCCGACTATGTATGCTACTCAGATATTTTGAGAAAGAGGTTGAAAAATTGTATACAATCACGCAATTTGACGTGTCGTCACCGTTGATTAACGACACATCTTAGGGTTTCATAACTGATTACTCTTGACAATCGACTAAAAAACGTTTACACTGTCAGTATGCATCGCGCAGTTAAATTAAACGCAATCACTTTGCACGTGACACAAGATTGTTACCAGCTTCCCCTCGTTTTGGTTTGTTGCGCTTGCAACCATCATTGTTAACCTGTCGCTTTTTCCCGTGCAACTCGGTGACAGTTCCTTTGTGCCATGTTTCTCTAGGAAATACAATTATTTGCATCCACTCAACCACAGTTTTACAATCGTCATTGTTAGCTTTCTACACTGTCATTGGTTTTTGGATATGCACTCAGCTACTTCGCAGCATCTTACTGGGCACTTAATCACTGCCTAGACATTTCGATTTCAAGTCCCTGCGTGCGTCTGACTCACCTTGTGCTATACCATCGTTTGTTGCCCTAGCTTCGTGACTAGCAAATCTAGCTTTTATAAATAAATAAATATTACATTCTAAAATTTGTCGAGGCGCACCAAATTTAGCATGATCAAAAATTTATGACTGACACGATAACAATCCCTCATGCTTTGTTATCTACATGTGGCACGTTCCACTCAATGGACGCCTTTTAACATTGTAGTTCGACCTCTGGCCGTAATTTCCTGATTCTTTTAATAATAATGCTAGTATTAAGCCTTTGAACTAGTGCAGTTTCGTACCTTTACCTTTTAAGCAGATCGCAGATTTAAGCCTCGAAAGTTAATTGCGTTTACGCATTCAGTTAATGCGGTTGTTGAAGCATGCTTTAATTACAATATTTATTGCATGTAACAAAGCTTCGTTGTCTAACATTGAGCCCGGATTTGCCATTTACCGGTTTAGACCTTTCATTTCACTAAACCTACCTTGAAGGCCGCGGATCGGTTGCCAATGAGTTGTTTGACAAGCGTAAGCATTAATAGCTGTTGTACACACCCGCAATTACCCCGCATATCGGAACGGAAGTATATCTTAGGCCATAGGAAATGCAGGTCATTTCCGAAGGGCAAAACAAGCAACTAAATATCTATGGGCGATTGCGCACAGCGAACTAGCAAGAAACGTTCTAATACCGTAGTGTCGATTGCATACATTACTTAATTTACTTGTAAAATTAATCCGTAGGGACAGCTTGATGCATCAGCATGGTCTACTAAAGCGAATCTGCCAGAATTGCTACCCATACATGCAGGTAAACGGCCTGTGAATAGAGCAGTACAAATCCAAGCACCGGTTACGGCTGATGGGTGCATGCGGTCAGCAACGGAAGTAGCTAGTCACTTACTATTCCATTACTTCAATAATTTCCAGCGAGCAACAAGCCCAATATTCCCTTGGTCAAGATTAGTTTACCGT